CATTGAGGGCGCGACTGGGCCATATCTGACAATGTCTCTAGCCATTGATGTGGCCTGTCTCGGGGTCCCCATCCAGGAAGATGGCAGTGACCAGCGCAGCTGAGTTTGCTCTTAAAGACTTTCATACTTCACTGCCAAGTCATTGTTTAACCGCCTCTGCCCCGTTTCCACCCTTCATGTGGTTGCGCGAAAAGATCCCCTTAGTCAAATCAAACTTTCTGAGTAGTTTTTCTCCCGCTGATTCTGGTTAGGTCAAACAATGGGCACACTGCACTTGTGTCTTTCCCTTCGGGTTTCATCAGCCATTCATGCCCTAGGCCGCATAGTAATGCAAAATGTGGAAATAGGGCGCGCAAATAGAACGTTTGGATTAGCTAAATTATCACATCTGAGTTTAGGTTTGGATGTGAAGTTAGTAAAACCGAGGCCCTGAACAGCAACAGCGACTGAAACATGGTTAAATTAACCAAAGTTAACCTTTTTCTAGACACCGATCCTGTGGAGAAAATGTCTTCCTAAATTAATAAAATCGACCGGCTTGGACATTGAGTTGAACAGCGTCGCGAAGCCCAAAAAACTGAGAACCATACCAAATCGATGGATCTCTGTTTGTAAGGGGGAACCGTAGAAAACTCAATATTCAGGTCATCCCCAAGGACTGACTACTTTTTGAAAGAAAGAAAAACTAACTGAGACTGAAAAAAGGAATTTTTCTCCTTTGTCATAAAGTACACCAGCGCACCAGCTTTATAAGTTTGCACACCTCAGGTATTTGAAAACAGAAATAAGTATACACACGACAAACTATCACTTAGGTGTACGGTAAAATTACTAACTTAGAAAGACCTTGAGGTAGGGCAGCAACAGAGCTTCTGCTATAGAGGACTTTCCGAATTTTTGGGTGAGTAATGTTGTCTCCCCATTTCTTACTGTCTGGTGATTCCTACACCGACGCATTCTGTTATTATTCTTGTAAGCTTCGGATTTGTTTTCCGCCTAGTCCAACCATTCGCGGATAAAACAGACAGAGATATTGAGTTTACTTTGACTGTCCGCTGGTTCCCATCTTAGCTTACATCTTTATGGGTAAACTAACCACAGGACATTGATCATTTTTTAAACAATATGCTAATTGTCATGCGACAACTATGAACCGGAAACCGTTTTTAGCATACCCCATAGTGCGCCGCTCTAAACAAGAAGGGAGGAAAACAGCGGCAAATTCCAGTTTCTTGATGTTGCGTTGAACACAGGGCGGTCCACTCCAAGGGAGTATGTACAGAAAACCTACTTTGATCTGGCCATCACGCCAGTTTCCATAGCTTTGCAGGTTTGGAATAAAGAAGAAACTCTTAAGGCGTTTGGCCTGCAGATCACATGGGAACTGGACGGAGAACATATTGGAGGATGCACTATAAGTTATCTGGGAAGTTTTGATAAAAGCGGTCTACTCAGAGCATTTTGTATTTGGTTCCCACAAACAGTGATAAAAAAAGAAGCCTTCCATTTATAAAATCGCCATACACATTAGGACTCTGCTTACATGCTACGTGGCTTCAGAAATGTTATCCACTGCTTGACTTCTTGTTCAAGTCGAACGTTCGATGCAGTACGGCCGAGGATAGACCACTGAATTTGCCGATTGTCTAAAGGGAAACAGGATGATAGAGTGCCCATCTGAGGTTACTCTGTGGTTAACTTTGCGCTTTTTACGAATGTTTCTTAAAATTGATTAAATATGTGACGTTTATACCCGTGCGCTTCTCAGAAAGCCGGAAAACTGCAACAGCCGAACTGGTGACAAGAGCCTGGTGACCCGTCACCTGAACGACATAAACAAATGAACGGGTCCAAAAAGTCATCTTTCGTACTCTACCAAAATTGGACAATTGACATTCAATTAGTCAAGATATTCAAGTACCTGAAAGAGCTGAAACGATCGCCATTCAGACAGATGATTCCTCTCTTTTCCAAGTTGTAATATTGCTCGAGTCAACCAATCGAAATTCCCCACTTAGATAATATTAATACCTTATATCGATAGCATGGCAACAGGCTGTACTTGATATACGAAAGACAGATGGAAAGGATCACCCAGAAAATTGTTTTATTGACAGAAGTTTTGGGCAGTTCATTTACCAAGGTTGTAGTCATGGTGAAAATCTGAACTGTCCGATAAGCTTGTCTCCGCGTTTATTCCAAAATGTTCTAGTCTGTCACATTAAAGAGTAAACGTTCAAGTCCTTGTTGCTTTTGCTCCAAACTTTTGACCTAATAGGCCTGTACATAACGGTTGACTGAAACAAGAAGCATGAGGTTCATCAAACAACCAATCACATTAGAGAAGTGAAGATGGTAATACTAACTGATGTTTTCACACAATTCGAAGTCAATAGATGAAGCTGCATGTCGTGTCGTGTATTTATCTTGACATAAAATATAAATCAGAACGGAACAATCTATCCAAAATACATGTAGAGGATTTACGTGTGCTCAGTTACAGCTACCTTAATAGCATACTGAAGCAAACATGTTGCCTTTGCGTTTTAGTCAAATTCCAAATGAAGAAGAAGTAAGTCATGAAAGCCTGGCCACTCTTGTTTTCACCCTATCTGGTACGCATTATTAGAAATTCGGCTAACGTTCCCATTGAGGTTGTTGTGCAAGAATGTTGTTATCGAATCTAGGTTTTATACCAAATTCAGGGATCATCAGTTCAAAGCAAATAAGTGTATTTCTCGAAAACAGTCCGATTTGGGTTCAATTAGAACATAAGGTTGACGGAAACTCGGGGACTGCGCCTACCCGATGAGCCCCAAGAAGGGCGAAACCGGTCGTGGGCTGTCGAAGAGTTTTCAGCAACCTTGTGAGTAGTTTCTTTTATCAAAGCATGGTAAGTTAAATGCGTATGATTTTGAAATCGGTGGGGAAGATGTATAAGTTCTTCCGAAATTGGGCATGTCTTTGAGGAAAGGGTGGTTTGCTAAAGTTGAAAACAATAACATCGATAATAATAAGAGATAGCGGTAGCAGTGATTGAAGTGGTGTGTGTAGAAAAATAAGGCTGGATGAAATAGGGTGATCAATCTTCCCGATGGTGGCATACTCTTTTTTAGTTTACCTACTCACTTTGAATCAGTAGTTAGAAAGTAACGATTCGGAGGTACTGAACGGTGCGCTGACCAATGTAACATTCATTCCGAGTTTTCCTTAGCGAACACACGATGAAACTTGGTGTTCTCCGGTTTTCAAGTCTTATCCAATTCAACATCTGACCAAGTACCATACGGAGAATAATCACCTGTGTGCATAATGTTGTTCTATTTCTCTACTGTTTCGTTGTCCTGCACATACCTACTGTCGTCTCGTGGATTTGGTGTTTCTTCAGTTTAGGCCGTCGGGTTATTTATATGAATGATATTGACAGTCCAAAAATTTGGGTGTAAATTAAAATGGAACACCTAAGGGTTGCCGAAATTAGCTGCTTATTTCCACGCAAGAGGCACAATGGTAATAGCTCAATGAACAATTCACACACACAAAATGCAAAAACAAGTATAGTACTCGAAATGAGTAATCCACTAAGAAGAGTATGCTTAACAGCTGAATGCACGTCTTTGTGTACATTTTTCGCTTTTCCATACTTTTACAGTGGCAGAAAAAGAATTTGTGGTCTTCATTCGAAGGACCATATAAACGATAGATTTGCCTATTTTTCTACATGCGTGCACTACTCACCAACATTAGTGAACATCACCCTTTCTCTGCACTCACAGGCGGGAGGTTATCAGTGCTTTCACAACTTGGTGCGACAGTCTGTGCCAACTTAGCCACTTGTAAATTTACAGAAGAGCAGCTCTCTTCAAACTTTTATGATCATAGTTTTTTGCTTATCTGTCTACTTCGGAGAAATCATGAACTTTCACCTACGTTTGGTGTCTGTTTTTCGTACGTGCGTGGCTACAAATTCACTTACTGTTCTTTGACTCTCGCACCCAACCATGATCATTTAGGTTGGTCTCCAATCAGAAGACACCTGCACTTGGCAGCGGTGTTGAACAGATTATCTCGCTCACTTAGGTTTTCTTGCAATTGCCCTCTTAGAGCTGTTCGTTCGGAGACGGTTTTGTCCCCATTGATTCGGACATTCTGGTCTCCATTAAACCAGTACTGGATAGGCGAGGCGGACGAGCTGCAGCTTTTAAGATCTAGTCAGCTGAACCTCACCAAGTAGCACAATAAATCCATGCTACGTGCCGTTGAATTCCTGCACTCTAAGAAAAATTGTCAGGTTGAAATTTGTGTGAACCAGTGTTTCATGTAGCCTGACCAGAACTCATGACTGCGGTGCAGCACGAAGACGTGGAAAGCTGGACTTACGTGATAAGACACGTTTTAGGAAACCCAAAGACACCTTAGTGAATTTTATTCAAACCATTTAAGTGTACTTTCAATGAGGATGTACAATACAGATACACAATATTTTTACATATATCCCCGGTCGCTTCGAGATGCACACGTTAAAACAAACTTGGAAAAACGTAAAAACCATTTTCTAGATCTAGTAGTCATCAGGACACTGTAATATTGTAACTAGAGGATGTCAAGTTTACTGTGTTTATTGATTATCTGATTTTCAGCTCGCTGACTTGCATGCACAATATGCAAGACGCAATCCAAAACAAGCGACATTGCAACCACAAAGGTAAATTAAACAGTCCATAAAAACCACTTCGGAAATCCCTTGATTTCACAACACTAAGGAGTCAAGTGCATAAAGATAACAATTGTTGAAACCGCTATTTTTGGATTTCGAAATCAATATTTTCGTGATTTGTGGAGTGGAGACTTCGTCTTCGCTCCTTCGGTTTCTAGATCTGTCGATGTGACGTTAAATGAACAAAAATGATTGCAGTAAGCTGTGAGTTGTGCAGCCATGGTAGAAGGCAATGAAATATTCAAGGGAACGTCAGTAAAAATTCAGTTACCACGGAAGCATCAGTGACCATGGATGTTGTTTACTGATGACCGGAATTTCTCCTATGGCTTAGGCTTAATACTTTCCTGACCGGTCCACATGTTGCGACAACAATAACTTAGTGCCCCGCATTCGCTAAGCGGAGAAATAGAAGTGCGATTTCCCGGTTTAAGCTTCAACTTGGCCGGATGCCTTGCAATTTGGCTAAATTAACTCATCAGCAAAAATCATATATAGGTAGAACCAGGCGGGGGCCTTTAGACTCTCACAGTGAGGTGTAGATTTTGGTAGGGTAACGTTCATTTGTGTCGGAGCTAGGCTCTACCATTTAAGCAATATTCCCCTCAAGTCAGTCAAAGATACCACGGTATCTCGAATATCGTGCCAAAGGAAACATGAGGTGGCCTGGTGCAGTCCATTTAGTTGCTTAAAAACATCATAAACGCGACGTTCATCTGGGTTCCACGTGAGTCTCCCGCAAAACCAAACTGGTTTGCAAATGAGTGTATTTCGCTAATTTCGTGTTAAATGGGTTCAAGTAGAACATAATATTGACGAAAATTCGGTAACAACGTCTACTTGATGAGCCACAAGAAGGGTGAAACCGGTCGTGGTCTGTCGAGGATTTTTCAGCAACCTTATGAGTAGTGTATTACGACGGACTACCTCTAGTCTATCCAATGAATACGTCAAAAAGCATATGTTATTTAAAATGCGTCCGCTCTGAAAATTTACATGAATGGATACTCATTTCATCCTGGTCAAACGGGGACAGAATGCAGTTTGTTTGGTCAGTAATCTTGCGGAGCACAACCATTTGTTCGAGCAATTTTCCAAGGAATTTCCTATAATAGCTAGATTGAGAGCTGTCGAGAGCTATAACGCTACCCGTTTGGTACTTGACTCCTAGTCATCGTTTCCTGTGGAAATAACCATCGACAAAACAGCAGTGTAGACCATGAATTACCGATGTCATGATTTTATTCTTTGCGAAGGTACCTTTGCTATAGTGTTTTATTCATATGTGCAACAGAAACACTTGTAGAGTGATAGTTTTAACCCCGTCATTGAGATGGATCAAGCAAGACTCAAGAGGTGGGGATAAAAATTTCCACAGTTAGATCGATCACTACTCACAAGAGAGCCACCTTATTTTGGCTCATCAAATAGGGTAAGGTCTATAGTGGTTCAACCCAGTGTCAAGTGCTGTATTTCCCATGGTTAGTTCAAACTTCCCCGTTCTTCATTCAACTTTGTTTTGCAGTCCGATATCAATAACTAGGACAAGTCAGCCAAATGTAAGTGCCCGCGTGAGCTGCATTTCAAACATTTGTACTCCTAGTTCAGTGTTTAAAAATCGTTTGTATCATCGCAGGGTACGCTAATAACCAGAATCACTATTTTGCCTTTCATCTTGATGGCAGCCACCGGAGTTGCATGCACAATACTCCAGAACGTATTCGAAGCCACCGATGTCACCCACTCGGAGGTAACTCAATAATTCATGTTGGTATACAATGTTGGTACACATGTTGATATACATGCTTCATAAGGCTCGAATCGAATGTCCCATTCTGTAATGGTAATGTCTAAACTCCCCCTACGTAATTGGGTCATAATTGGCAACGCAGAACACTTTTTGTGCTCAATAACATCGAAGAGGTTTTTTTGAAAATGGGCCTTCAGAAAAACTCGCATGCATATGAAAATACTTGTTATTATATGAATTTGTTGCTCCCAAAGCCCGACTTTCATAGAACTGGAGTTGAATAAATATTTTTCCATGAGCAAACTTATGAGACGCATTGTAATTTTACTGATGTCGCCAAACTGACTCGGGTGATTCGGAATCTTCATATTGTAGCCAACCTGCAACGCCTTCACCTCAAGAAAGGGTGAGTTGGATACTTGAAGCTCCCAACCTCATCACTAATCCGTTAGTTTTAGATTGCTTCTTTAATGCTGCGTTTAAACTCCTGTGTGTCCACTTGATTACATGAGATGGACTCAGACAAATCTAACATTTTTTACAGTAAATGCTACTGCCGTTCTTGAGATCAGGGGGTTGTTGTTCATTATCTTGTTAGACTACCCAGGTAGGACAGCTCCAGGCTTAAGCTTTCCAAAACAGGCGAGCAGCAAACGATGTTTTCAAGATTCCTGAATAGCAGTCATTTCTGTGAATCTTGAAGTTTCTGTGTACGTGGTTCGCTTTTAGTTAAAAGTGAACATGAAGTGAAGATGTCAGCCAGTTATTTATAATTAGATAGTCCGCCCATTGCCATGTGGAGTGGTTTGTTGACGAACAGATTGGAAGGCAGATAGGCAGGTTGGTGTCATACCTACCATTCTACCTACCTACCTACCAACATTCATCCATCCATCCATCAATCCATCCATCCATCCATACATCCATCCATCCATCCATCCATCCATCCATCCATCCATACATACATACATACATACATACATACATACATACATACATACATACATACATACATACATACATACATACATACATACATACATACATTCATGTAGATAGATAGGCAGGCAGGCAGACAGACAGACGGACAGTCAGACAGACAGGTGGGTAGAAGGATAGACAGAAAGACAGACAGATAGACAGACAGACAGATAGATAGATAGATAGATAGATAGATTGATAGATAGATAGATAGATAGATAGATGGATGGATAAATAGATAGACAAGCAACTGGGTCGGTTGATGGATAGGTGGCAGACTTGTGAGTTTTGGTATTTTGTACCTTTGATAATACACCACCCTCATTTATTTCAATGCGGGTGGTATTTCGAGACCGACCTTTCTTATGGTCTTTATAAGATGGAAGTGCTTTAGATAGTTATCACTTGAGATAGAATTTAATGTTATTTGTATTTCCTTTGAAACAATTTTAACAAATACTTCCCCCTCCATTTGCTTTGGCCTCCGACACATCCGCATGTCTCATCATCTCCATTGTTAGCTTAGTGATGCTGCCGACAAAACGTTAGACCTATACAGTCGAGTCATTGAACTGCAGCGCCGTTTTTATTCTCACTCGTGCTCTTCCAAGAAATTTCCATCATCCCCACCCCACAAACCTCGTAGAAGAACCATTGGGAGTCCATTCATTTTGTGCATGGGTCAAAAACAGAGGCGGGTAGTCGGTGCTTATGGGCGGAATGATGCTCGAGACTGTTCGAGCACGTGTGAGGAACTTCGGTCAGAGTTGAGCCATCTTGTCGATGATGTATTTTCAAACGAACAAAGGGTAGTTACAGAACTGCATGTCTGCCATTTCCTTCCTTGTCATGTTTAAGCTTATAATTTGTCAAAGTAGTATCATCCATGTTTAATCACGCACCGTGTTGATTGTGGCATGCATTCGTGCAACTAATTGGTTTGGGGAATCCTGGGTATAGGACAAGTGGGCAAATAATTTTCGTTCTGGAAATTGATGTTTGCATGTCACTGAATACGAATTTCAGTCATTTCCAAACGTACGCAAACTAATACTTCTGGTTATGACAGATACAAACAATACATCGTGCTGAAGGCAAACCACTTCAGGTAAATTACGGTTTATTTGTTCATTAAGCTCTCATTATGAGGATTTTTTAGGCTATTCCATGCTACTTGCACTAGGTAAACATGCTTTAGATCGGAATCTAATTTACCCGAGGTTGTCATACTTTTGATGTGTAAAAAGCTTGATGATGAGTTGATGACAGACTTTGTATGATGCTTCCCTCGGAATGGTGGAAGGCAGTCATGTTGGAGTATGGTGGGGTGAATCTCGGTAATTCCAATAACGGGACAGTTGTTCTCGTACCTGACGATCACTCTGTGAACTAAGTAAAAGAGTCTGCTTAGTCAACGTCGAAATGCATACGTCGAGATTTCATTTAACCCCTCTGAAGGATTAAAGCCTCCAGATAATACAAACCGCACGTCATTCTCCCTTGAGCTGCGTTGCGCTAGTGAAGTCTTACCACTAGATCACTTTTGTTTTGAACTCGGTTTACCTCCTTCCGGATCGAGGTAAAATAAACAAATGAAGAAATGGGCGTGGAAAGAAATAGGAAAATGCGCACTCTGAACCAATGATGATGTTCCAGTTGGTACAATAATTGAGATGAGCTCCAAGAAGAGTTGTGGTTTTTCAGAGTCCTCAGCAACCTTGTGAGTAGTTTTCTTTAAGAATATATTTTTGTATCTCAGATACCATACCAACTCAAACGTGAAGTGGCCTCTGTGAAGAATATCAAAAATGAGATATTCAGTTGAGTCTCCCTTAAAGACCAAATCGAGTTAAAAATGTTGACAGAAATTCTCTGGGGTCACACTGCCAGTTTTGTCCCAATTAAGGCTCACCAGGTAGACAGAGTACCCCGAGTTTCTGTAAGTCTTGTGTTCTGATAAGGAATTAAATTGTACATATGTAAATTTTCACAGCTACAACTTAGATTGTTGTTACTGATGGAACAAAACGACGTCAAGTTCAGCTGAGTGCATGGCATACAGTTTCAGTCAAGTTTGAGTCAAAATGTTTTTAGCAATTGTAAAAACTGACTTCATAATGTTTCCATTCAGGTATTTGTTGACAGTGACTAGGATAGTTTTATTTGGAACACGATTTATTGCGTTACACACTCGGAGTAACAATTAATCTCTTAAAGTAGCTGGGTAGAAAGGCGTTTGTGATGAGTACTCTCTGACTGGTTGTACAACGCCTGAAACCGCGTTACTCACCTCAGTGAACGATCATCTACACTATATGTTCAGCTAACCTTCACCTTAGTAGCTAAAGAGTTTTCCTTGGCACACTGTAGAACAGGACTTCAAGGTCTTGGGCCAGTGTGGTTTTCACTATAGCAAACTGGATATCCTCATAAAGGAAACTGCTCACACAAGGTTGCTGAAAACTCTCCGACAGCCCACGACAGGTTTCGCCCCTCTTGAGGCTCATCAGGTAGGCGCAATCCCCGGGTTTCCGTCAACCCGCTGTTCTACTTGAACCCAAATCGGACTGTTTTCGAGAAATACAATCATTTGGTTTTACTCTCTCGTGAGAACCAAAATGACAAATGAGTGTATTTCTTGAAATTGGACACCCGTTTTGCGAGCCTTTAGGATAAAATCTAAGCCAGGCTCAACAGCATCAACAGGATAAACAATCTTTTTCTCCAGAAACTTTGCCTTACGATTCGTACGCTTCCTTGACAAGTCCGATATTTTGAAACCGATTCTTACGAGTGGAATATCAAACGGCGTAAGGTGGAAATTAGAAAAATGAGGTGGATGTGATAGTTAAGAGTCAGTTAGTATTCTGCAGAAAATTAAAACATTTACTAACACCACATGGCTGCTTTCGAATATTTTATTTAAGTACCGCGGAAATTATCCATTTTGGCACTCTGATGTTTGCGGGGTGTGCGTCTAACCTGTAAGCTGACGTGTTCCGGTGGATATGCACCCAGTCACGACACTCGCTTCTACTAGGCGGTGGGACAACTTCGTTTGCCAGTCAAAAACTGACGATGGTGCATCACTTATTGTAAAGAATCACTTAAACTGCTAATGATCATCGGATGTCGTGTAAATCATGTGGCATCGAGGAGAATCTTTTGTTCTAGCTCTAAGATGCTGCAATTATGCGAAATTAAACCACAACAATTGAGTTTCTATCAGCATTTATTTCCTCTTTGTATAACTACACTTCAGGAACGCAGCCAACCACGCACAATTTCCATAATCCGAGCTCCTGAGATGGAATCTCACCGACGAGTAAGTCCACAATTTGCACAATGTGCGATCCACCATAATCACTAATTGGTAAATTGTCCTATTGAACTGTGAATGAGTTATCCTGAGGGCGCTATTCCTGGTAGAGGTTTGGAATTATCAGATAGTCACTAAAGTTTCGTTCTCTTAAGTAACTGTGTAATCTTTGAGCTGGAGGATACATCTAAATATCAGAGCAGCGATGACTTTGGACGTCATCAAAACAACTAGCTAGTTCTTCAACGCAATCCAGGAATCGGTTCACTCAGGAGACTAGCCACCATTCAACTATTTAAAATGTCGTTTTTGCTCATTAGAATAAGAAGTGGCCCGGCAAAAGCTATGTGGTACATTGCAACCTAGCACGTTGAAGAACACAAAGTTCACTACCGTAGATTTTCAGTATTTTCCACATATTTCTGCTCGCTTTAGGTCAGTGGTTCGTCTATCACCAGTACACAAGAACGATCGTGGTCCCCCGACTCACACGCTAGTGGATCATCAATCATAACAAACGGTGGTTCATTTATGCGACAATCGTCGAGACGCTCCAGCGGTCCACGTTTGGTAGTAGACCGCCGATCACAAAGACGCAAACAAACTGCAAAGATTCAGCAGCCTGAATCCTACGGAAAAACAATGTAAATTTTCTCTACTTGTTGGGTTTCCTTTCATGACAAACCTTTCTACTTACTGTGTTCGATAATTGCTCACTGTTAAGAAATTCTGTGCAAAATAGGCAAAACTGTACGATTCCTCTCTAAGGAAATAAGATCCATTATTCATCCCAGATTTATGCGCACCACCATTGGAGCAGAGCTGTACTTTCCACGGCCGTTTTGATAACAAACTCTTCGTCTTTCGTGGTTCCCTAACTCACTTCCATTGTTCATCCATCTCTACTGTACATTCACTCGACTTTAAATCCGATAATATGACTTTTTTTTACCTCAACAATGATTCAGTTTAAAGAGTTATTTATTTTATGGAAAGATTTTGAAAATCTCACGAATTTGCTTTCTGCGGTTAGCTTTTTTAGAGAGGTCCACTTTAATAGCTGTTTTCCACGTTGTGGCTTTCGTGTGATACTAAGTGTATTCACCTACTGTAAAAAATGAGTGGGAATATGAAGGGATCACACGTTCCCGGAAGTTCCTCGGCGGGACCATTTCGTGGTCCACAGTAGTTGCCGGAGCAGCTCATAGAGTCTTAGTAAACCGAAAACAGTAATTTGATGCCAGAATATTATTTACGAGAGTTTTAGATACACTACTACTACCCCAGAGCGGACATTCATGGAATTTGGAAGCGCTTTGACGAACTTTACATGTTTTCGAAGACTTAGGAGTATCGAATATGCAGCATCTTAACCTTCAAACATGTAACTGACACACCGCTTGCTATCAGTTCACGGTTTTCCAGTTTTGACACTCAGCTGTCGCCGTGTTGCACCGTGTATTTTAATACGGAATATGGAGTGGGATTAAACTCTGGGTTTCATAAAAGCAGGAAAACTAACCGCCACTACCTTCCGGTCTGGTAAACTGCCATGACCAGTAAGGGTTTTGAGTCACAGTTGGATGTTAATAGTCAACTGTGTTTAACCAGCCAATGAAACATAAAGTGCCCCAGCGATCTTACACTATGCCTCTAGATATACCTTCAGCCAGGGTAGTTTAGTATACACATTAGGTGCCTCAAAGGCGATCCTACTCTGACAACTTCTGCATGTTTGTTAGTCGGTCGCTGCAGGAGTGAGAAAACTGTGGTTGTTCAGAAGGAAGAAACGAGACCACCGGTAAAGTTGGTCCGTGTTGCAGTGAACAGCATTTCTAAGTTTAAATCTTTTTCGAAAACAAAAACAAAAATAAACTTCCAGCATAAAACAATCAAAACGCCTGTAAGTTATCACAAATAGAACTGCATCGTGGATTACCTTCATGGTAGCCAAAATTTATGAACGGTAGATTTAAGGGTCCGTTGTGACTATCACTCAGGATTTGAATGCAGTAGTTTTGTATGTATTGTTGCAGTAAAGACCTACTTTCAGAAGAACTAGCCTCTCCAAGCACACATGACGTCATCCAACTTTCAACCTCTAAACCCTAGCAAAAGACAGGTTTTCAGAGGGAAACAGGGATAATTTTATTTAAGATTCAACCTATGCTGTGAGAGCGTGCACATTTAATACTACCATCTCGGATTAGAGGTCATACAACGTCAAAATTGTACACCTTGTGAGAAATGATGACTTCAGGTTAGACAAAAATAAACCTAAATTATATAATGACACCAAGCTGATGTGTGTCAAGCTATTGTGTACCATAAGTCCGCTGGTAAGATTATTACGCGCATTTCAATAATGGTACACAGTCCACCACCGTCCAGGTTTTCAAAAAGACAAATGCACAAATAACCTTGGAGTTCGGTCATAAAATATTCGTGCTTAACTGAATCAGACAAGTACAAATGTCCCCAATTACTTGCCTGGTTCCTCGAGTTGCACCATAGCGGGAGTGGAACATCTAAGGGGTAGAACAGACCCAGTATGTGCAGCATCCAACCCAGAGACAACTTGACACAAGGAAGTGTTTGTTTCCGTTCACAACACTTGCGGTAATCAGGAGGACAGACAGGGCGCTCCCGTGCCAACCAAGTCACATGCCCAACAGAAGGCAGTTCAGAAGCGTGTAACTGACTGCCATGAGTAGAAGTCGTTCTGCGGTAATAAAAAGCACCGTCTATCTTAGCCCATCTGCTCCTGTTAGAAAACGTTTTGGGGCAGACTTAACTTTAGGTGAGCTGTTGAATCACGTGTCCGCTCATTCGCAGGTCTGGTTCTTATCCCAGTCACCCAGCTGAAGAGTAATCAAATAGTCTCCGCAATGTTTATGGTTGTTTTACCAAGCGGTGATGCAAATTTTCACATAGATCCCTATTTAGGAGCACCCCTACATGATCAAACTCAACTAATGGGGACTATGCGTGCGCCTCATATCAGGTTTTCCGGTATCCCTCAGATGTTGAACTATTTTGGTCCCCCACATCATCGAGAGCAAATCTGGGGCCTGAAAATCGTCGTTTAACAGTAAACACCCTCCGTCAGGTATGCGAAGTGCCGTTCAAATGGGACTGATGTGATAAATTCATAGGTGATCAATAACTGTTCTGCAGTTACGAAGTATCTTGAGTCCGGCGTGTCTGATGGGTTTGAACATCAGCCTTCACAAGCAGGACACTGGTGAGAGTATTGTTCAGGTCTCGGAAATTTCGCTAAACACCCTCCGTCAGGTATGCGAAGTGCCGTTCAAATGGGACTGATGTGATAAATTCATAGGTGATCAATAACTGTTCTGCAGTTACGAAGTATTTCGAGTCCGGCGTGTCCTGATGGGTTGAACATCAACCTTCACAAGCAGGAGAGAGTATTGTTCAGGTCTCGGAAATTTCGCACGAAATGCACACTCACGAACATATTCGCAAAAGATAATCCGGGATCATGCAGCTTGCGTTGATAACCCATCAGCGTCATCTCTAGATGACTGGATTTAAAAACCCACTATGGCCGATTATGTTACTGAGCCCTGATAACGGCGGAACTGAGGTATGGTACCTCCTTATCGGGAAGGAATATTCGCTGCAGGATGACTGCCCGGACGGAAGACACGTTGATGTAAACTCCTGAATAGATTCGGGCACCACCAATAATGCCCCGAACAGGCTAGCCAGACAACAGAAGACAGTCAACATCAGAAGACAGTATTCATCAAGTAAGGCCACATGTGGGCCTAAAAGAGGACATAAACATCGCCAATTTCTGCCGCCGCGTATGTCTTAGACAATGAACACAGTCATCCTGTTCATCCTAACGATACATTATTAAGGAAGATGTCGCCATGGTACATCTTCTAAGGATGTTCTTTCCGATACCCTTTTTTGGCAGAGATGTTCTCCCTCAAAAACCGAATACGTTTCTGGCGTTAAAGCTGTCTAGAGGAGCTAGCTAAACTGATTTCAAAGCAGTACTGGTGAGGCTGAGATCAAACTAGGCTGAAGCAAACAACCGTTAGAATCCTTATTTTGGGGCGATTTCACCGCTTAACCACTCTGCACGTACTCTATACTGCCTCCGTGTCCGCGCCTGGTGGTATAAGGGTTAGAGGTGTACCCCCGAAAGACAGCCGTGTCCGTTTGACGGCATCCCCTATATTACATTCACATAAAGCTTCCACGTTTGAGAAAGACTAGTTGTATTTTGTTATTCGCCGGAGTGGACGCATCTATAATAGTTTGAGTAACCGGAATGCTGGTTAGGCCGGTGGGTGCTAGAACATAGTGCTTCGTTGGTTACTAGAAGTCTAAATCTCTTTTCAGCATGTGGAGCGGGCTCCTGGTGAGTAACAGAAGGACAACCCACCTGTTGGAATTTTAAAAATCCTGGTGGTGATAAAAATCGCTGAAAATAACATGGCGCCAGGGTATCCTTATTACCGAAAAGGGCTTCATCTCCCGTGAGTGAAAAATTCAAAGGTTCCCTTCAGACGAGCCGAACATCGTGCTTCAAGAACTGGACGTCGTCTGTGTACGAGCATCAGTTCCACAGTTTCTTATATTCAGGATGAATTCCACTAACAGCTATTAGTTATTATGAATTAATAGAACTCCGTATGCTGGTTTTGTTTGGAAGTGAGAATTCTGGTGAAGTTCTGACGAACTGATCAGATAATTTTTCATAAAATGGCCCTTAGGTAGCAGATAATTCCTTTCCGATAATTTTGCAAGTACATTTTGGTTGTTCAGATGATATTTCCTTACATCAGACTCGATAGATAGGCGAACGACTAACCAAGACGACCGTTGAATTCCAACCACGAGAGTTAGCCTCGTAGGGGATTTCAGAGCATACAGCAGGGCTGGAGTCAGTAATAAGGGCAAATCAGGCTGTGGACTATTTTAGTGGTTTAAGGTGCCCCCTAAGACACACTAGTAACGACATCTATGAAACACAATAGACCATGGATCAACGAGACGCGTTTTTAAATGCAAGTATTGTCGGACATGTATTCACGGATTTCAGCTCTCAGGAAGACTCAGATGACGGCTTTTTTCACTTGCTGAAGACAACCTTGCAGGAAACAGCGTTGAATAAATGTGATAATAATTCACGCTTGCAGGATATGCGATAGCTACACAGATGTTAGTTTACCTTCTTATCTCAAAGACGCATTTTTATTCATCACTTATTTGTCGCCAACTCAGGCAACAGGCATTTTTGCCGCTGAAAGAGATTACAACAATTAGTGAATGAGCTAACTATTAACCTGGAAATATCTTTTAGAGGTGAGTTAACTTCAGAATCGACGTTCCAAATTCATAATAAGTCTAATAAATGATTCACGCAGAGTCTGTTCCCCGCAAAAAAAGGAGGTATATCATGGCAGACATTTCTGGATACATATGGATACGACTTTTGAATGATTCACGCAGAGTCTGTTCCCCGCAAGAAAAGGAGGTATATCATGGCAAAGATTTCTGGCGGTATATCTATATGGATGCGACGTTTCAGCCAGATTCTCAATCGCCTACCAGATGGATCCACAAGTAGCACGTCCAAATCATGAAGATTACTGGCATACACAGTCCTCAACGCACTCAAGTTGTTTGCCTAAAAATAATCTCGTCTGATCCGTGAATTTCAACTTTGCTGACCTTACTCAATGACTCAATGGCTCGGAGCCTATCCGTATCATCTACGCAGAGGCTGAGGTATCCGCGACGCATTCAGTCAGTCCCTGCGGCTGGAGAACCATACTAAGCTTTAACCAAGAAGAATTCTGACCAAGGGATACCTTGTCCAGATCTTTAATCTTCGACTATCTCCGTCGATCGCGCTGAATCGCGCTGATTTATATGGAACAGTTGATGCGGGTTATATATGCGGTGGGAAGGTGAAAT